GATGCATTATGTAAAGGTACAATTCCCAATGAGAAATGTAATTGTGTTGTATACCTACAATGTACCAATAAAAGAATTTAATAAAAAAATTAAAATATAAAATAGCATTTTATTTATAAATAATATTTTGAATTGCTCAATCTCGGGTTTAGTGAATCTTGGGTTTAGTGGGTTTATTCTCCCATCAAATATTATTTTTTAATTAGACTTTAGAGGACTGAGGATTTAGCTCAGTGGCTCTGTGCCTGCCTCAAAAGTACAAGGTCCTGAGTTTGATCCCCGGTACCGAGGTGTGGAGGGGAATAGACTTTCGAGTCATATTTTCTGTTTCTTAAAATGAAATAATGACTGCCAATATATGCTTCATTTTATATTCAGCATACATTCATTATATATTCAGTAGGCATTATATATTCAGTATATATTCATCATGTATTTAGTAGGCACTCATTATTTTCTGACAAAACAGGAGGCACCTTGGCAGATTATGATGAGAACTGAAACAGATTCAGAAGGTGACCTGTACTCTTCTGCCATTCATTCATTCATGTTCAATAAGTTGATATCATCATACTAGGAGATAAACATAGAGCAGTGTACAAAACTCACATGGTCACTGCATTCTGGGGCCTGCAGTGTAGTCCACTGAGTTAGGAACTAAAATGTAAGTCCATAAATATGTACACAGCTATAAATGGCTCTGAGTACTCTGAAGGAAAAGATAGGCTATTATAATTGAGTTCTACGGAAGTTGAGTTCTGAAGGACCAGTAGCCAGCCAAGCACAGGACTAGGAAAGAAGTCTCCAGGCCAGGGGACCCACATAGCAACTCTCGAGGCCATGCAGCTGGAGCAGAGCCACAGGGGAGGGAAGTGTGAGTCACTGGTGCCCTGAGCCTGTGGATCCAGCAAATTAAGTAGTCTAGGAGTCGGTTCCTTCCCCTACAAACAAATGGGTTGATTTGATGTTTTCTAAAGTCCCTTCTAACCATACCTTTGACAGACTCTGATTATGTAACCCTAAAGGCAAGCATCTATAGAAATCTGTATTGTTAGGAGTTCTGAAATTAATTATAATGGGATACCCGGAGCATACCTGGACTGCTGGTCACCAAATGTGAAGAGACATCTGGATAAAATGGGAATTTTCTAAATGGCCTGGGTGATGACAAATTCTCACAGTTTATCCAGAACTGGAGGCTTTTTAAGGATATAGTACATTCAGTGCTCAAGGCAGGACGTCCCCAGGAAGCTGAGGTACTGGTCACCTCAGGGCTGGCCTGGAAAGTGGCTCAAAGCCACACTACACAAGCACGAGAACTTCTGGATTTTAGACACAGGCCTTCTCTAACACTGTAGGCAATTATTTTTTACAAGCATCCTGGAAAGATGCTTAAAGTTTGCTTTTATTTTCTCTTCAAAGGGCAAGACTCATAAATCATAGGTTTTATTTCTGTGCACTAGAGTCTTTAAATTCTAAGAGACCCCACTGCTTTTAGTGCTGTGATGAAATTTTATGACTTTCTTTCCCTATATCATTTTAAGTGTATTTCCGTTTACCTAGAGAAATATACCGTCACAGATAACCCCCAACCTTTTCACTTCGTCAGACTGCTCTCCTTCCTTTTACCCTAGACTTACAGGTTCAAGCCTGTCTTGCTGCTGGCCCGAAGCAGGTAAACCTTGGCGTTCTGCACCGCGATCTCAAGAGTGCTGGGGGCCGCCTCAGAGGCCTTGGGCCCAGGCTGATCTCTGTTCTGGTGGCTGCTCCAGGCCTCCTCCTGGGCACTGCCAGGTCGCAGCTCCTGTGGTTTAGAGGGCTTGCTACTTGGATCGGGTTGCTGAGTCAGTGCAGAGGTGTCCTGCCCCGATTGGCTTGGGGGAGCCGATTCCCTCGCATCAGTCGATTGCCCCGGTGGGTCAGAAAGAGGAGTCCCAGCATCAAGAGTCCCATTGGTGATCCTGTCTAGCTGCCGTAGGGCCCCGAGGTCCTGCCTGGCCAGAGTCGACAAGGGCTTCTGAGGCGATGGCGGGGAAGACGACGCTGCTTGCTCCGCTACGGGGCCTACGGGTTCGGGGGTCCGAGCACGGCTGCTCCTGGGCCGGGGGCCGGGGTCTGGCGCCCACTCGACCTCCCAGGGCCCAAATGACTCGGGACCAAGATCCTGGGGAGAAGCTGCTGTCTCTTCTTCCCACGGCTGCACTGCTTCCGCCAGTTGTTGGTTTTCCTTTTCTTGTTTCAGGGTGGTCGAGTCTTCCATGGGAAGAGTCGAGAAAAAAGCTCTGATGACCGGGACGTGAAGGTCGGGAAGAAGGCAAAGCAAGGCGTCGCCTAGCGAAGGTCTCCTAAGTGATTTCTGCGTTCAGGCGCTCTGCAACTTGCAGCGTCCGGTCTCCATGGCAACCCCGGGGGCGGTTCTTCCGAGAACAACTGCAGGCCTGCTGCCAGGGTTGTAGAGAGGCTGAGGTGAGAATCCTAGATTTGTGATTTGATGGAGACCCTGTCCCTCTTTCTTGCTCACCCAATCAGACCCGGACTCTATCGCTACTGTTTGGAAACCAAATTCATGGTCCGGTGCCCTGAGCTCAGGGCGATTTAGGGCCACCTGATAGTGTGATCCAAGTTGTACCATGAGGAGCAAGTTGTGCATTAGTGAAGAAACAGTGTGTGTGTGGGGGGGGGCAGGAGGGAAAGGTAGGAGGAAGAGAAGAAGAAAGGGAAAGGGAAAGAGAGCCTTGGGAAACCTTGTCTCTTGGAAAAATAAAGAAGGACTGAGTTGCTTCCCTGCTTAGGGTGAAATCTGGTTGATTAGTAGGCAGAATACATTTTCAAGGAGAAGGCAATACAAAAGTTACTCTGTGTAAACAGTTTCGTGGGCTACTTCTTTTCTAATAACTGAAATTCAGATGAATTCCACAGCTATATTAATATAAAAATATTTATTTGATAACATGCATGTGAATTCATAATTTTACAATGATTTAAGGTCATGAGTATGACTATTAATTTTTGTATGCTCTCTCCCCCACGAAGAAGGTATAAAGGACTGGACCATATCTAGACTTGACTGCAAGCCATAAAGTAGTCAAGTCTTTAATATTAGTTTATTTTGCATTTCTCTCTTTTTTTATAATAAACCACCTAATAATACTTTGTTATTTTGCACTTTACATTGGTGTGACTTCCATTCAGCAAGTCGTCAGTGATAATTCTAACTTCATGGAAGAATATAAACTCCTGTACCCACAGTTTAGTGTGGGAATCAAAAATCCTTCAATAGTTTGATATAAGTTATGGATCTTTTCCCTTCCACTCACATAATCTTGCATTTAATTTCTGCTGGCTCAGGGAGTCCTTAATGTCAGATCTTCCAGATTTAGAATCCTTGGAATTCTAAAAGCAAAAGATCAGTTAGAACTATAAGTTGGTTTCTTTGTCACTGGTGCAAGGTTTAGATCAAACATTCCTCTCCTTAGTGGATCTTTTTTACTCCATCTGTTATAGTTGGCAAGATATGGTGGAGGCCTTTTACTTTTTTGTACTGGGGATCAAACTTGGGACCTTGTGCTTGCAAGGCAGGTGGTGGAACCATTGAGCTAAATCCCCAGCCCTGGTGGAGACTTTTTTTGTGTAGAAAATAGGCTAGAACATGGTGGTAAGGCCAGGACAAAGGAAGCATAAAGGGACAAGGTGCTTAGAGGTTGTTTGTCTCTCCAATTTAGGAGAGAAGAACAATTGAAAAGAAGTGTAAGAAAATGTCCATTGCCATTCCTGCTTCATCCCCAAACTATATTTAGAAAGACTAAACAAACTTCAATTTGCTTCTCATTGTTCTTAGAATAAAGATCAAATTCTTATGCTTACCTCCCCAGCTTCATCTAAAGCCATTCACCTTAATACTGGCCTCATAAAATAAGTTAGGAAGTATTCTTTCCTCATCTGTTTTCAGGAATAGATTGTGTAGAATTAGCATCATTTCTTTAAATGTTTAGTAAAATTTATAGTAAAACTGTATTTTTAGAGATTTCTACTTCCAAAGATTTTAAGTATAAATTCAATTTCTTTAGTAGTCCAATTACAAGACTGTACATAGGATCTCTTTTATCTTGGTTTTATATTGGTAGCCTGTAATTTAAAGGATTTTTTGCATTTCATCTTAGTCATTAAATTTATTTGAACTGGGTTCTGAATACTACACTCTTCCCTTCTTATCCCTTTAATGTTGTGAAGTGCTGTGATATCTCTGTTTTAATTCCTGATATTGATAATTTATGTATGTTTTTTCTTGGTGACTCTTATTGGAAGTTTAGCAATTACAACACTATTTAACAAAATTAGCATTGGGTTTAATTACTTTCTCTGGTTTTTTTTATTTTCAATTTCACTGATTTCTCTTCTTCATTATTTCTTTGTTTCTTTCTTACTTTGGTTTGTTTTGCTCTTTTGTTAGAGTTTTGGACTAAAAACTTAGATTAATGATTGAGATTTCATTTATAAGCATTTAGGGTTTTATATATTCCCTTTAGGCACACCACTGGCTCAGTCCCACAGATTTTGATACCTTATTTTCTATTAATTCAGTTGAATGTGGGGTTTATTTTGTTTTTTGTTTGTTTTTTTGTTTTGTACCAGGGATCGAACTCAGGACCTTGTGCTTGCAGGGACAGGCGGTGGCACCACTGAGCTAAATCCCCGGACCCATTGAATGTGTAATTTTAAATTTATTTTGAAACTTTCTCTTAGTGTATTATTTATGCATGTGCTAGAACTTGGATTTTAAATGTCCCCTAGAGACCACATGTGGAGACGTGGATCCCATGGTGGTGCTGTTCCAAGGTGGTGGACACTTTAAGAGCTGGGATGCAGTGTAGGTCTGTGGGTCACTGGGGTCACTGCCTCAAAGGAGATGGTAGGACACCAGACCTTCCCTCTTTAGCTTTCCAGCTATGAGGTGAGGGGCTTTGTTCTGTCACTCATTCTTGCCATAATGTGCTGCCCCAACATAAGCCCAAAAGCAATGGGGCCAAGTGAGCCCCCAAAACTGTGAGTCAAAGGAAACTTTCCTCTTTTCAAATTGATCATCTCAGACATTTGTTATAGTGATAGACAGCTGACTAAAACAGAAAATTGGTCCTGGAAAGGGGCTATCTTTGCTTTTGGCGTATACATAATGGTGTGGAGAAGCTCATGGAATTGGTTTAAAGCAGGGATTTGAATAAACAGGCTAGAAAAACCTAGAATGTCATAGTGAGGACTCAGAAGAGTAGAATTCTAATAGAAATATGGACAGTAAAGGGTATATTTTTAAGAAATTTTTAATTTTATTAGTACATGCTTGCAGTTCATGCAGTTTATAAGCATCTTGGGGCGTGGTTACATGTACATACCACAGCTTCTTTCTTTAATCCCCTCTCCCTTCTCTCCTCCTCCAGTTCCCCTATTGTTGATATTATTCTTGTTGATATTATTATTATTAGCCCATGTTATGACATACGTTTACATTAATTGAAGATATTAGGTCCTGTACATGGCACATCTTTATTCTACTTAACTCCCCTTCCTCACCTCCTTCCCCGTCATGCTTTTTCCCTTGGGCCGTCTCCCTATTCCAAGAAATCCATGACCTTGTCCTCTTCTACTGATCTTTTGTTATTCTCTTTGTTTGTACTTGTCTCACTCAACTGAAAGGCACTATATGGTATTTAAGCTTGTGCATCTGGTTTATTTCATTCAACATTATATTTTCCAAATGCATCCATTTTCTTCCAAATGTCTCAAATCTGTCATTCTTTATAGCAGAGTAGTATTCCATTATACTGTATATAGATACCACATTTCCTTTATCCAATCATCTGTTGATGGGTACACAGGCTGTTTCCAAGATTTAGCTATTGGAAGTTATGCTGCTAAAAACATTGGTATGCATGTATCACTGTAGTTTGATGTCTTAAGCTCTTTGGAGAAGATATCTTGCAGGGGGATTGCTGGATCATATGGAATTTCTAATTTTAGTTCTTTGAGGCATCTCCATACTAACTGCCATAATGGCTGTTGTACTAAGTTACATTCCCACCAACAGTGAAGGAGGGTTCCTTTTTCACCACAGCCTTGCCAGCATTAGTTATTATTTGATATCTTAAGGATTGCCATTTTTTCTGGAGTAAGACAAAATCTCAGCAATGTTTTAATTTGGATTTCTCTGATGGCCAGAGATGTTGAAAATTTTTTTCTTATATTTGTTGACCATTTGCATTTGTTCCTATGTGAACAGACTATGTGAAATAAACAGATGTTCATTTCTCTTGCCAATTTCTTGACTGCATCTTTAATTTTAGGTGATTTGATTTTTTTGAGTCCTTAGTGTATTCTAGATATTAGTCCTCTGCCTGAGGAGTAGCTGGCAAAATTTTTTCCCCATTCTGTAGGTTGTCTCTTCACTCTAGTGATTGATGCTTTTGCTGTACAGAAGCTTTTTAGTCTGATATAATCCCATTAGTTGATTCTTGCTGTTATTTCTTGTGCAATTAAGGCTCTGTTTGGAAAATCCCTCCCTACACCTATGTCTTCCAGCGTTTTACCTATTTTATCTTCCAGTAGATTTAATGTTTCTGTTTGAATGTTTAGATCTTTGATCCATTTTGATTTTAATTTAGTGCATGGTGAGAGATGAGTCCAGTTTCAATCTTGTACACAGAGATACCCAGTTTTCCCAGCACCGCATGGTGAATAGGCCGTCTTTCCTCCAACATGTGCTTTTGGCCCTTTTGTCAAAGATCAAGCAGCTGAATGGGTCTGGGGGAAGTTCTATATCTTCAGTTCTGTTCCACGGATCCATGTGTCTGTTTTTGTTTCAGTATATGCCATTTTTTCACTATTGCTTTGTTGTATAGCCTGAAGTCAGGTATTGGTATGTCTCCTGTTTTGCTCTTTTTGCTCAAAATTACTTTTGTTATTCTAGGTCTCTTTTGGTTCCATACGAATTTTAGGATTGTTTTTTCTATATCTGTAAAGTATGCTGTTGGTATTTTCATTGGGACTTATGGAACCTGTGTAACACTTTTGGGAGTATGGCTCTTTTGACAATATTGATTCTGCCTCTGCAGGAGCAGGGGACATCTTTCCATTTTTTGATGTTCTCTTCAATCTAATTTTTCAGAGTATTGTAGTTTTCTTTGTAGAGATCTTTCACTTCCTTGATTTGGTTAATTCTTGGATATTTCATTTTTCTTGAGGCTACTATGAATGGTATTATTTTTATAATTTTCTTCTCATCTCATTCATTGTTGGTATACACAAATGCTACTGGTTTTTATGTGTTGTTTTAATTCTTTTGGGAAGAT